TCATGCCCAAACACAATGGGATGTGCCAGTTTCAACCTTTCACTCATTCTCTTGGCCCCTGGACAATCATGTGAACAAGCCCAGGCTAGCCTGCTGGAGAGTGAAAAACCACACCACAGAGCTGATCCAGACCATTATAGACCTATTCAGCCCTCAGTTATCCTGCCACCCAACGGCAGACTCAGAAGTAAGCCCAGCTTAAATTGAGCTAGGCCAGAAAAACTGCCCAGTCTGGGCAATACATTAAATAATACATGTTTATTATTCTAAGTTATTAAGTTTTGATGTGATTTGTTATTCAGTAACCAAGAGTTAACAATAGCTAGTAATGCTTGCAATCAATAATATGGGTTAAAAACAAGCCAGAAATAAAACATAACACAGAGAATGGGCTTACAACTAGAATTAAGAAGTCATAAGGCTAAAAGTAGAAGACGTTTATTTTATATAATAATATGTCCAGGGGCAGGCATTTTAGAACTGGTTCAGTTGCCTAAGGAATTTGTCAAGGACCCAGACTCTATTTTTCTCTTTACTATTCCTAGTTCTCACCAATCATCCTTATCTTCACAAATGGCTGCTGAACATCCAGGCCTAGCAACTGTGTTCCAGGCAGAAGGAAGGTGAGACTGTGATGATTTTTTTTTTCTTTTAAGGAGAAAACAATATCTTTCCCATAAGCTGTGCTTATTAGACTTCTCCTTATATTTCATTTGCCAGAACTGTCGCATGCTTATTGTTGGGAAACAGATATTTTTTAACTTGGTAGCTGCTTTTCCAAAGGAAATGAGGATTCTGTTATTAAGCAAATGAAGACATGGATAGAGGTTAGGCAACTAGTAATCTCTGCTTTCTATTTGAGGGAAAATATCTCACTTCAGGTTATAATCCAGAAGAAAAAGCAAGGTATCTACTCACTCTAAAGACTGAGGGTAGTATTTTGTAGTTGACAAGGCACTTAGTGAGTGTCTCCTAGTTATGACTCTGCAGATGACTGGATGGGGGACTGGTCTCTAGTTTCTTCTCCATTTAAATCATGACATTGGAGAAAACTACCTATAAATCTTTCTGAGAACCCATAGAGACTATGAAGGGAATTAACATTTATGATAGTCTTCATGGACAATAGCTCATTGAGACCTTACAACAAAGATATGAGTCAGTGTCATTATCCCATTTCACAGTGGGGCATGTGACATCTCAGAGAGATCAAGTTATGTGTGCAGATCCCACACTGAATAAGTGCCAGAATTCCAAGGGGCTTCTGCAGGCTTGCAAAGCCAAAGCCTTCTTTCCATTGTCTATCCTTTGCCAAAAAATGAAATCAGTGCATACTTTTTTGCTTTATGAATTTTAAGGTTACACTTTCTAAACCAGTGGCCTGCGGCCAACAGTAGCATAATCACCTGGGGTGTTTATTAAAAATGCAGATTCTTCTCTTCAGATGAACCAAAGCAGACTCTCTAGGCTGAGACTCAGGAATCTGCGTTTCAAAAAGCTCCCCCATGCGTCACAAGAAGAAAAAATTATTTTATTTATTAAAAAATATTTTTATTAAATTTTATACATTGTTGTTCAGTTTTGTATAATGTTTGATTTTTCCTCTTAGGTGTAATCCCTATAAAATTCCCACCACCACGTCACCTGTGAACCATCACCATAGTCTCTTGTGCTTTTCCCTTCCCTGAGAAAAATTATTTTAAAGAGAAAAAAAGACAAAAAAAGAAAGGAAAAAAAAAACACTCCCCAGGTAGTTTGATGACATATAAATTTTGAGAACCATTATTTTAAATTTATAATTTATGGTTCCATTTTAATATAGTTTATTTCCAGATTCTTGGCTCATGGAAATTTCCTCCTAATAGCAGGAAAACAAAATTTAAAAATAGTCTGCTTCTCCTTCCTGTTCTTCAGTTTCCTATTGAACATACTTGATTCCATGGAAAATGTTAAGGGGCTGGAAGTGTGTCAGAGAAGATATCCTAACACTGATCAGCTGAGGCTCAGTATGGCAACGGCATGGGTTAACATGAACATGAACACTGATTAGAATCAAACAGAGTTGGAAACGGATGGGCAAAGGAAATGACATTAACTAAATATTTACTATGTTCCAGACATTGCTCCAGACACATTACATCATTTAAGCGTCCAAGACATGTGATTTAATCCCTTATTTATAAGTGAGTAGGTAGGTACCATAAAATTTCCATTTTAGAGATGAAGAATCTAATGGCAAGAGAACAGTCACTTGGGTAAGGTGAGCCATTCATTCGTTCATACATACAATAAATATCTCTAGAGTTCTGATCTTTTTTATTATATAATTTATTTATTTATATATATTTTACATCATTTTTTTTTTTTACAATGTTTGCTTTCTTTTCTCAGGTGTAGTCCCCAGAGAATTTCCACTACCAATTCACCTGTGCATCACCACTGTAGTCCCTTTGCTCTTCCCTTCCTCATTTTGATCCCTTTCCCTCCCCCTCCCCTGCAGAATGTCTCTGATTTATAGTTGTCTGTTTATTTTTGGTTTTTTTTTATTGTTATTATTTTTTCCGTGATGCCTTATTTGGTTCCCCTATATTCCTCCTATAAGTAAAATCATCTAATATTTTTCTTTTTCCCTCTGGCTTATTTCACTGAGCATAATCCCTTCTAGCTCCATCCATGTTGCTGCGAATGGCATGAGTTTATCTTCTTTGATTGCTGAAGTATTGCATTGTGTATATGTACCACATCTTCTTGATCCAGTCATCTATTTTCAGGCATTTGGGTTGTTTCCAAATCTTACTTATTATAAATAGTACTGCAATAAACATAGGGGTACAGGTATTCTTTTGAATTAATGTTTTTGTGTCCTTTGGGTCAATCCCTAGGAGTTTGAGTTCTGATCTTATGCAAGACACTGAGATGAGAGCCTTGAAAAAACTAGAGACATCAGGCATTCTAAGGCCTGGACTTACTAAGTCTCTACTGAAGAAAGAGGGAGAGACAGAGCAGATTGGGGCTGGAGCTTGGCAGAAGCAGCCCCTGCCTGGGTTGTTCAGCCTAGGGAGGGGCAAGAAGAGAGATTGCAGTGGGTGATTTCCAGCCGTCTGTGACCTTGGCTTCAGAAGAAGCAATAGCTCTGGCTAGGTGGTTCCATGAATGGATGCAGGCTCTTATCTGTCCAGAGGAGATGAGCAGGTGGAAGGGTTTGGAAGAAGCACTAGAAATAGAACTTGAGGGGCCTCCCTGGTGGCGCAAGGGGTTAAGCACCACACTGTGAAGCAATCCGCAGTCTCTGCAGCATGAGTTCCATCCCCAGCCGGCCAGGGAGAAACCCACATGGCAAGGCAGATCCCCTTGTTTCCCCCGCTGCTCCCCTCAGCAGTGTATTTCAGTCAGTCTGTTCTGTTACCCATTCTATCTCAGGTGGACCCTTACAGCCCCCCCCCCATCTCTGGCCTGTACCCCAGCTCTTGTATGCATAAGGAATTTTTTTTTAAAAAAAGAAATAGAACTTGAAAGGGGGAAGGGGAGCCCCCAAATCTTACATCCTCTCATTACTCTTAGGAAGTAGATATTATTTCTGTTCTACAGATGAAGAAATGGAGGTTCATGAAGGTTAACTAATTTGCCCAACTCGGTGTTCTGGCCAGGAGCTGAGGAGGGCAGGTCTTAGAGCACAGCCCAACACCCCCACCCTTCCCTTTACAGCTCACAGGCAGGTGAAATGCTCACCTAGGAGCGCTAAAGTAATTTACAAATCAATACTAAAGGCTGATTCTGATTCCTGCTACCAAGGTTTATTTAATTCCAAGTTCAAATTACACAGAAAATAAAATTTTCTCCTTAAAAGGTTCCTTGGAAAAATGTTCTCTGTTCTATGTAACAGCCTCCTCTGCTCTGTTTGTGTCTGAAGAGAGGACTAGTCTGACAGGAAGAATTACAAATCTGGAGCTCATTTCGCGTCCCAGAGGGAAGGTGGGTGGAGCGTCTCACAGTAAATTAAGAATTCAGAATGAAAATGTAGCCGGGTTTATTTGGGTTTCTAGTGACACCTTAGAATTATTGTGCGGGCGTGTCAGAGGCAACTCTAAGTAATGACTGTTCCCCCTCCGCCCCGGGGGTGCTGCGTGTTAAGAAGGAGATCGTTCCTCTTCCTATCGGGATTGGGGGTGGGGGCCTTCCCTTGCCCTTCTGGATGGGGAAGGATAAGAGGGGAGGAAAATGGTTGGATCCCCTCTTCTAGGTCTGCCGAGCTCCCGAGGGAGGCGGGAGGCTATTCGGGGGTGTGTATGAGCTCCGGATCCGAAGTCTGAGGTTGTGATTTGAGGCCAGAATCTGGGGACTTTCTCGGCCTGCAATTTGGGGGGGTGAGCTGGATTGTGCGGTGGACCCTAACAGTACAGACGGACTTGGGTCGCAACCTGAAGGGCATGAAGAAGGATTGGGAGGGAGTTTGAAAGTTAGGCGTGCATCTGGGGAGGGAAAGTTGAAGCATGACAGATCCTGAGGATCTGCATGAAGGTGCTGGAGACTGGGGTGCAGGGCCGTAAACAGGGATCAGGACGGGGCTGTGAGGTTGCAAGATCTTAGGTGCCTGGAGGGGGCTAGAGAAAAAGAGCGTGGAGCAGCCCCAGCCTATTTCCGAAAGCCACTCACACCCAGACACACCCAACGGCTCCGCCCCCCAGCTCCAGGAACGGGCGCTGGCGCGACCCCACCCACCCCGTACCTCCTCCTAGCGGGTTGCTGAGGGCCGTTTGGGCTGGGGCAGGGGTCTGGGGCGCAGCCCTCAGGGAGCCTGGGGGCGTGGCCTGAGGCCTAGCGCCCCCAGCTCCTGATTGGCCGCCCGCGGGCGCGCGGGCGGGGCTCGGGGCTGGGTCCCACTCGGCCGTCTGCAGACGGCCGGGAGGCGGGGCCGGCGGGAGCCCGGCAGCCAATGGCCGCGCGGCCCCGGAGCAGTTACAAAGGGCCGGTGCGAGGCCGCGGCGCGGCAAGGGAGGTGGGGCGAGGCGAGGCTTGCTGAGGCGAGGCGGCGGCCGGGCCGGGCCGGGCCACAGGCGGTGGCGGCGGGACCATGGAGGCGGCGGCCGCTGCTCCACGACGCCGGCTGCTCCTCCTGGTGCTGGCGGCGGCGGCGACGCTGGCCCCGGGGGTGACGGGTGTGTAGCGGCGCGGCGGGGCGCGCGGGGGCCGCGGGGCGCGCGGGCCGGGCCCGGCCTCTGGCTCGCTCCTTCTCTTTCTCAAACATGGCGCGGGGCCGGGGGCGCAGGTGGCGGCGCCCGGGCCGGGGCCGGGCTTTCCTGGCCGGGCCGCGGCCGCGCGAGCCGCGGGCGGGGAGCCGAGACGGGGCGGGGGCGAGGCCCCGGGCGGGTGGAAGGGCTGGGGATCCCGCCCGCGCGCCGCCGCCGGCGCCCGGGGAGGTGGCTCCGGGCGGAACCGTCCGAGGTCCGGGGCTGCCCGGGGGCGCACGAGCGGGCGCGGGCCGGGAGCCGGGGGGTGTGAGGCTGGCGCGGGCTGGCGGGGCCGGGGTGCCCTCCGCCTCCCGTCGGGGCGCTGTGTGGCGTGGCCCGGGGCCCCTCAGCCGGCGCGGGCTGCTGCGCGAGGCTCCGGGGCCCGGGGCGGGGTTGGGGTGGGAGGCTTCCCGGGCGGGGGGCGGTGGCGGGGGTGAAGTGGGGTGCGTGGGGTGTGATATCTGAGTCTCCTGCACTTCCGAGCGGTGGGCTGGGGCGACGTGTGCTGGAGACCACCGTGGGTCAGCGGGGCTGCCCTTGCCTTCGGCGCCAGCCGGACCCCCCAAAAGAAGGGATGTTTCTCCAGCTGGGGAGCTTCGGAAGGGGAGCCGCGAAGCTTTGTGCGCGGCGAAGGACCCTCGAAGATGCACTGGATGTTTCTTCTTTCGTCCGGGGAGATGCCTGAAGTGAAGCCAGTAACCAGAAGGCTACAGATTGTTTCCGCTGTAGAAACTTGCGCGTTTGCTCGGTCTCCGGGGTTTGGAAGGTTTGAAGGGGCATGACTGTGAATTGATCCAACGCTTTTATTTCCCCGAAGGAACATCGCGAATGATGTTCCCGGTCTTGAGTGACAGGAACCCGTGGTCTGGTTTTCAAGGGAGAATGGTTGGTTCGGCGGTGGTTTCCAAAATATTAACCCGGGCTGGGGTGCGTGGTCGGTCATCTGCCACCGCTGTGGAAGGGGGAGTGAAAAACTGTTAGCATCCCAAGTAAAGCACCAAAAACGAAAATATAGGGCTGTAGTACTAGCATCTAAAATACAGTGAAAGTACATTTCTGTTTCTGCAATTAAACATCACATGTTCTTAAAATATAAAAAAGCTCACGGCTGAGAGTACCAAGTCGTTTTAATAGCTGCCATCGTTTAAGAGCTTATTATGATGTGCATGCATGAAATACACCAAAGGACATAATCTAATCCTCACAACTAAACCCTCAAGACTGTGGTGTTTGCCTCGTTTTTTTAGATTAGAAAACTGAGGTGTGGGGTGGTTAAGTACTCAATTCTAAGAACTGGATTTAGGATTTCCTCACAGGGCTGTTTCTTAAACCTGTGTAACAATATATATTATGAATTGTCTGGCATAATCCATTTTTCTGCTGTCAGTTTTCTGAGAAGCAATTTATTTTTGAATTTTATTATTTACTTTTAGATTTTTGCCCTTATGTTTGAAAACATGTTTCAAACATGTTTTTTTCAGATGTTTTAGGACATTCCTCGAGTCCTTTCTCACTAGTGCGATATTAAAGGAAACGAAGACATGATATCCAAAGAGGGCGAGATAAATGTGTGGGCAAGTGGCCAAATCAATATAGTTATGCATCAAGCATAACATTTCCATGCCACTAATTGCTCAAATAATATAGTCCATTCTTTCCCACCTAGTCTAGCATATGCGGTGTTCATGCATTCATATAACAATATTGGACTTAATTGACATACAGAACATTGCTCAGTCCATGCCCTGGAGGAGTTTACATACTGTGCTGGCGAGCTTACTCTACAAGCTAATTTAGATGCTGTTACTCTAAGTCTAGACTACCTCAACTGGGCTGCCTGCCCTCCTTGATTATGTTATTTCACTCTATCCTTTCATACATACTAAAGAAGCCCAAATGCTTTTTAAAATGTATAATTTGGCATCTTTTTTTAATAGGCTTGTCATTGTTTTCTTATTGTCTGGATCTCAGTTTCTGTAATTCTCTGTCCTACTTCTGCTCTGTCCCACATAGATTTCGCCTAAGGAAATTGGTTCTCTGTCCCTTTGTACAGTTTAGCACTGCTGTGTTAACATACATCTCCATGTGAGAATACTGTTTGCTTCCTTTCTACCATTTCATAACTTTTTTTGAAAACATGCCAAAAAACCAACTCGTTTATATTAATGCCTTTTGATAGTCTCTGCACTTCTTTGCACACAGACATCAGTTTAGTCCTGCCTATTTATTATGCCTCAGATAGAGTTGCGTTACAGTGTTTCTCTAATCGAGGCTTTTGTATGGGCTACTGCCATGCTTATCTTCCTGAACCAACCAAGACTTTCCATTTGTATTTAGCTCTTCCGGCAACACTTGAAGCTTATGTGTAAGGCCATCGCTGACTGTCCAACTCTCTCATTTGTTACTACTGCAAATGCTCAATTCCAGAGATTTCTGTTTTCCCATTGATTCCTGACTTTTCAGCCTTTTCACTGCATATTTAATCTTGTCCCTTTTGAGGGTTGAGAGGATCCCAGTCCTGACTTCCTGTACGGGCTAGTTCTGAACTCTTTTAAGTTCTCTGGACTGTACAGCCCAGTTTGTGTTGTCTGTTTCTACTGTTTGTACTGATACTTAAACTGTACTCTTGAATGTGATATAGGTACCTAGAGGGCAGAAAGTCATACTTTTCATTTTCTTTATGCTCTCAGAACCTAGAATATTCTATTCTACTTAAAGACTTTTGTTGAATGAATTCCATTTGACTATTTCTTTAGTATTTATACTGTTATTTATAGTACAGTTTATATAATACTGATAATTCTGCATATAGAATAAGGAGAGGTCATATGAAGTGGAGAAAGGAGTTGGTTATTAGATTTGGGTACTAGCCCCAATTTCATATCTTGTTATTCAGGAAATAGGACTGATACCTACTTTGCCTAAGTCATTAGATAGACTGTGAAGATTAAATGAGAAAGTTGCCTTGGAGTTTGACTTTGCTGTTTTCTGTTAGTATTAGGTAGGACTGATACTGGTGTTCAAACAGCAGTTCCCACTGAGCCATGTGTGTTTTGATTGGTTAGACCTTTTTTTCTGATTGCTTGGTGCCATTGCACCGCCATTTGTTAACTATTTTCAGTATCACCCCTGCAAAGGCTAGTATAGTGGCTAGAATTCAGATGGATAAAGGGGATTTGATGAGTCTTAAGCCCTTTCTTTGTGAACTGTGTCCAGAACTGCCCTGGGGCCTCTAGGACAGAAACTAAAGATTTTATTGATTAACTGGTAAATTACACCTGAGAAGCTAGGTCCTTATTCTGTGCTTGGGGGTTTGAATGTATTAACCACTACTATTTTTCCCCAATCTAAAAAGCTCTATGTAACTGGAAACAACAGAAAGATAATCTAAATGGGGTGAGTTGAGGGAGAATAATGATATGGGATGCCCACCAGGAATAGCCAGGGTGAAGGCCGTTAAGTGCCTCAGTTTACATGTGATAAAACACAGATTAGGTTAATTTCTGAGTTAGACAGAACCGAGACAAGAACTTTGATTTTCCCAATTCCAGGCTGTGTGCTCTTTTTGGAAATTTAAATTGTGAAGGATGAGAAGGGGGTCGGAACAGGTTAATGGAGTGATTTTACCTAAGTGAAATTAATCTTGAATATGACAGAATTTATGAAGGCATTCTGAAGGTGGGAGGGAGGAGGAATGATTACAGATTATAAAGTTCTTAAGAGAAGGTTGGTATCTTTTTATATTGCTGATAAAAAGACCTGGTATAATGTTTATTGATTGAGTAGTTTGTAAGATGGTGACATTGTTTAGGTTTGAAATGTGTAATTGAAAGGACTTGCAGTACAATGGTTAGTTTTAGAATTTTAGGTGATCTATTTGTTGAAATTAAATGGGGGAGCTGCTTGATCAGAAAATCGAGAGGGAGATAAGTCTTGTTCCTGAGGGGAGGGCTGCTCATTGTTAAAAAAATTTTAGGCCTCAGTTGAAACAGTTATCTGAAACCCAATACAGTTCTGTAGTACCTTTGTATTATATCAGATGTGTTTGTGTTAAATGGAGGGAGTTTTGAAAATGTTATTATCCTATGGATGACCCTTTTGATGTGAAAACATGTCTCTTCAAACCACAGAGCCCCCTACACACGTCAATAAACCTGTGCCTTTGACTTTACTTTCTTGGCGGTGGCTTACATAATGCAACATTCTCTGAACAGATGGACTGTGCTTTGATATCATGTGATTGGGTCATGTCTTTGCTTCCTGCTTCTGGAATTGAGGGCAGATGTTGGCGTTGTTTAGGGATTTTCATGCTTTGTCCCATAGAACTGGCTCAAGAAAACTTTTGGCATCTTCTCAGAATTTGTGGTCTCTTGTGACCTGGTATAATCCCAATACTTAGCAATATCCCAATACTTAGGATAATATTTAATGTCTTTTTAACTGAATTTGCTCAAATCTAAGCAGTCTCCATAAACATTAAGATCGGCTGTTGCTCTGAATTAGAGCCAGTTTTAGTTGTACAGTTTTGGTCCAAATAATGCAGGTAGCTTTCTTATAAGTGCCTGACTTGTGGTTTTTTTGCCTTAGACAGATACTTTCTTAAATAGTAGTGGAGTAAGTCTGATTAGTTTTATGGGTCCAATTTAAGATACTATCTGGCCTTTTAAAAAACTGCCCCTTCATTTTCTCAATCTGAATAAAATACATAAAATGAAAGAATGATTTCTAACTTTAAAAAATTATGACTTCCAGAGTATGTACAGAAGTTGATTTGACATTTCTTGACGTTTCAGTGGTTCTTATCCCATTTTATCAGTCTGAAAGGCTTGCAGGAATGTACCAGGCTCTCTGCCTGGCTTGTTCTTAGTTAATTCTCATAACCAACCTTGGATAATAATTGTATAATAGCCCCCAAACTTTTAACTTAT